TATACATTCATATGAGACTGAGGGAAACTCTACATATGTATAAAAGCCCTAAGAAAGAAGCTTATGTAAAGTTTCATAAAGCAGTTAATACTATTAGCTTATCTATTTTGGATCAGTCTAGGAGTCACAAATTATAAGTAATGTTTCCTCCTTATTTTCCCTTAGCCTCCACACAATTCTATAACCTCTGTTGATTGAACTACATTTTATTTTATTTATTTATTTATTTAAATATTTTTATTGGGGAATTGGGGGGATGGGAACAGTGCTGGGGAATTGGGGGAAGGGGAACAGACAAGTTGCTGTCGTTTTGTTCTTCAATCTAGTTGTGGAGGACGTTGCTTCACTGGCCCAAGTTGGCACCATCATTGCACTCTTCCTGGGCGAGGGAGATCAGTCGCCGGCTTCTGGACGGCCGCTCACTGTGGCTGCTGGCCACTCACGCTGGCTGCTGGCTACACACGGTAGCCCATGGCAACCCACTGCCACAGGGGCTGCAGACTACGCCGTTGCCGGCAACTCACGGCAGCCCAGCTCCAGGTTGAGCTGTTGTTCAGCATCTTAGCTGTAGAGGGCAGTGTCACTGGTCCTCATATGTGGGATCCGAACCGGGGCCCTCTGGCATCCCAAGCGAGTTCTTAACCATCGCGCCACTCGGCTGGCCCTGAACTACATTTTAAAGGAGGTTTATTTACAAAGCTTCTCTATGTCCCACTTTAGTGTTCCAAAAAGACCAAAATGATTAATCCAAGTGCTTCCAATGAAATGACACCTTCCATAATTGTTGCTCCACTAAGGTATGGCTAACTATGGTTTTATGTTCAACACTGCTGTATACTCTAATGGTAACATCACATCTGTCATTATTTCAGAATCAGGCAACTTGAATGATTCTAAAACTCTAAAATGTTTAGTCTACAAATTTAAATACAGCATCAAATTGAGCCAGAAAATATCGTGTGATTTTTTTTCTGATAGTGTCTATTAATCATCAGAGAATGTACACATTACCGAATTATGTGATATGGGTTTTTATCGCTCATAAATCATTTCTTCACTTGGAAATCATCAGTATGCTCTAAAGTACATTACAATGCACTCTTTTGCTACAATTGTGAGTGCACATTATAGTGAAATGTGTTACTAACAGACAATTGGGAGAAACAAGCTGAATCAGGACAATTACAAGACTTGACATGGCATTATTGCATATACTCCATGGGAAAAAAAAAATCCAGTCAAAGCAGTGATTCATGACTTGATTACAACATTCCCAGTGCAATTACATGTGGAACTACTTAGGGTTTTCTTCACAGAGCCTCCAAAAAGAGCTATAATTAGAAACTGTGCATAAAAGGTCTTGCATAGTTTCAGAGACTTGTGTATAGCTGCTGCTCTTGGTTATGTTAAAAGCAACTCAACTACTGATCAGTTCAAAAAAGCCATATAATATAGTGCCCTATTCCTTTATTCATTCAATAATTAGATGCAGTCATAATTCAAACACTGTTGTTTTGTTTGTTTGTTTGTTTTAGATTAATGAAAGCACTTCAGCTAATAGCAGACTCATTTTTTTCCTTAGAATATTATTGTACTAATGAGGGGAGGTATGAATATAATAATATCAAATTGGAAGAGTGGGGGATTTCTCTTCTATGCCCTGTAATTTTCAGCATATATTTTATATTTAGTTTAAGCATAACCTAAAATGTGTCCATTTTATTCCTTTTTATAATTGCTATATCTACTGGGAAGTGGAAGAGAACCTGGCTCAATTTTTCTTTTCTTTTCGCCTTTCACTAGTACAGATACAATAACCTCCCATCACAAAAATGGAGCAATCTTTGTTTAAATTAACATGAAGACAAAACCCTTCTTATTCCAATTTAATATATAGATACATTTTTAAAAAACATATGTTCTACCTTTCATTAAAAATGGGTATTGTCATAAGCAATATTATTATTTTTTTACGTTTTGTAGAAACATCACTTTCAAAGGAATGTGGAGGTTAGCTCTGTGTACACTATATGTGAATAAAAGTGCTCAAATGCATATTGTGGAAAAACAAAGCCCACCTTCATGATTTGAGGACAGCATTTCTACTTTGACATCTTCAGGAAGAGGAAATATGGACCATGATTTGATAATTTAATGGATGATGTGCAGAGCTTGCACTTCAGAATTTAAATTTTGCAAGTAATGTTGGCTGGTTACAAAAACTACACTGCCACTTATACAACTTTAATTACAAGATTCCCAACAAATATTACGATGCTCTATGTTAATTGCTTTCCATGTTATACAAATGTACATATATTTTAAAGAGATACCTAAGTTCTAGTAAATGTTGCTAAATTATCAGTTGGGAAAAAAACAACAAACCTTATTGGCTCAATATATTCCATACATTAATAAAAAAAGGTAACTTTAGGGTAAATAAACTCAAAAGAAAATTCCAACACTGCTGTAATATAACACTTAATGTTGCTTATATAATAAACTGTAATAAGAGCAGGTCAATAACTATGACTTTTTTAGGTTGGGATTTAACTCAGGTTTGTAGACCAATAGTTACTTATAAATGTGTTAAATGAAAACAGGTATTGTAATTTGAGCATATCTCACTAACCAAACTTAAAAAGTTGATGGATGTTGAGATTATCATGCTAAGCGAAATAAGTCACACAGAAAAAGTGGAGAACCATATGACTTCACTCATGTGTGGGATATAAAACTGAAAACAACAAACAAAACAAACAAACAAAACCTCATAGACACATACATCAGTTTAGAGGTTACCAGAGGGTGGGGAGTTGGGGCAGAAGAGGGAAAAAGGGGGTCAAATATATGGTTATGGAAGAACTGACTCTGGGTAGTGAACACACAATGCAATATATAGATGATGTATTATAGAAATGTAGACTTGAAACCTATATAATTTTATGAACAGATGTCACCCCAATAAATTAAAAAAAAATATGGTCTTTCATAGGGTAGTTTTGTCTTAACTTTAAGGCAGAGAGATTGAGACTTAGAGGTTGGGTCTAGGCACATGGCTCAATGCCCTTATTCAACTACCTTGAATTAATTCAACTTACTTAACTTGCTGTTTTGCAAATAAGTTATCTATTCTGTGGATGGTTTGTGGTTGCTATGAAGCTTTACTTTGAGATCCAGATTGGTTTCCAGATATCGACAGGGAGTCAATGTCTGAAACTATAAGGTAATTATTATAGTTTCAGTGACTGGCTACGGAACTGGCTGTGGAAGTAAGATGGTCTGAAGGAATAAAACCGCATGTCTTCTAAGATTGCTTATAATATGAAAAGGTCTAACACTGAATGAACATTCGAAAAGAAATAATTACTTAAATCTAGAAAGATGATGAAACCCTGGGTTTATTTATATTGTTACATGAAAAAGTTAAGAATATATTATTTTGGTATTCAATACATCAATTATTCATCTGACTCATTTTTATTAAACATACTGATCATACAATTAATCAATTTTGATTATGGCCTTTCTTGATTATTGCTCTTATGTTTTGTAACTTTCTGAGAAAGTGGATTAATTCTGCTTTCATTATCTTCATGTCCAACACACACATAACAAAAATCATGCTGAGTAAATTTGTAACATGACATTCTGCATTTTTTTCTCATTTGATTTTTCCTGTAAGTAAAGCCTGTCATCTTTCTGTCATTCTGCCTAAAATATACTATCGTCTTTAATAAGAAGTTATTTAAAAATAGTATTCCCAATTACCATGATGTAGCTTGAAAAGGCAACAAAGAAATATGGTTTAAGACTACTTTCTTGTAGCAACAAAAATTAAAGTTTAAAGATCAAAAGCCAAATACTCAAAAAGATTACAGTACTTTTAATTAAGATGCACAATAAACCAATTTCCACCAAAGATGACTTCTTCTACTCTTGCCACTTCATGGACATATTTTGTTCAGGCACATACCTTGCATCATGATTTTAGGGGAGAGCAATTAATTTCTAGTTCCAGGGAAAGCATCCAGTCAGTCTAAATCATGGTATTTGGGAAGTGAGCAAATCAGACTAAAGAGAAGAACCTTTACTGGATGTTAGGAGGGAAGGATTGCTTTCCTTCCTTTTATAGAATAACAAAGGCCCCTGCCATCTTTTAACTCAGAAGAATCAACTTAAGGTTAAAAACATCCTGTTCCAGAAGGATCTTTATTTTCCCCTATGCTTCTCCTATAAATGGGGTTCCCTCAGGGAGATAGAAAGCTTGCTAATGCAGGAGGCAAGCTTCAATGTACTGGAGGAATGCTGAGGGTGGGACGGTGTAGAAGGGTTGGCAGAGTAGGACACATTCCATAAATGGTCTTTGAGGTACCAAAATATGTATCATGAAAATATGTTCTATTTATATGACCTGATTATGACACTTAATTTAGAAAATTCTGACATACACTCACTGTGATCGCCAAACTCTGTCAGTGTTACTACCTACGTTGATGAATAGTACCATGGGATCAAATATACCACTGCTTCATTTTAATTCTGAGCAACATTTTGTTTTGTTATTATGTACTATTGTTTTTTGATATATATTTCTACTGACTAAAATCTTTCATTACCGATAGGGTTGAACATATAATCATGATTGTATGGTATAGAAAATAAACTTAGCATTTAGTAATGCAAAATTAGTGGCAAACATCTTTAGAAAAAAAATTAATAAAATTGTCCTTCAGGATTAAAATTTCTTACTAAAAAGCATTAGGTCCACGTTAACAGTGTGATATGTTATTAATGCATAGATAAGTTAGGCATGAATAAAACTAATCCAATCCCATCTCTTCTTGTAAAACGAAGTATGAGAAAGCTACAGGTCGCTGTTTGTCATAGGTCAATTGAAAAAACAATATACTTAGCTTTTTTATTATTCAGTGTGTTTTGATAATGCAGCTTTTTAAATAATGTATACCCAGGATATAAACGATGCACGGCATACTTACCAGGTGAATTTTATGCCACTTTGCTGAATGCAGGATTAATATATTTGGGCTTTTTATTGCTTGAGTAGAAAGTGCTCATTACGTATTATTTTATGTTTATAATATAAAAATCAAAATAAAACAAAGTGTTTTTAAATGGCATACATCACACTGTTGTAGTGGTCGATTTCCTCAAAATCGTCTTCTGTGGTTTTGGTGCAGTGGGAGGAGGCACAGTTGCAGGTCTGAGAGGGGGGAAGCTGTTACTGTGGCTTATTCCCAGTCCCCCATTTTCGAGCGGAAATGGAGGGAGGTGGGGTGGAGGAGGGAGGGGAGGGCCTTGGTGAGGAAGCTTTCCTGGTGGGTGGACAGGTTCGCTGTGTAAATGGACCTCCCGGTTTTTTATGTGATACCGGGGGTCACAGTCAGGACAATAGCCATGGTACTGCACTTTTTCATTAAACCGCACGCGCTCCCGAGGCCCTGCCTGGGAACACCTGTCTTTTTCAGGTCTATGCATCAGAGGCTGCACTGGAGCCTTGTCCAAATTACTACCGGGTATGCAGCAGATGTCTCCATTGGGGATTTTGTTTGGTGCCCCCGGTACGCCTCCGTTTCGTAAAAGGGTGCCATTGGTCTTAACAGGATTGGCAGCTGGCACCACCTTTTTGGGGTCTTCACACTTCACAGGTGTCAACCGTGGAGGAGGTGGTGGAGGGTTTGGCTTCCTCAGAACCGTGAGGATGGCAGAAGGGTGTGCCGGCGGCTTAATCAGAGGTGCGTTGGCCTGCACTTTGATCTTCTCTATGCTGGAGGCTGTCGTGCCGCTGGAGCTACTGTTCAGGGTGTCTGTTTTGGAGCTGTCGGTCATCTCATCCTCCAGCTGTAGGTCAGAGGTCAGGGTATCAATCTGGTCAACCACCTGGTGGAAAGGACAAAGTAACTGTATGAAAAATGACCCCAAGCAAAGCACACTCGAAACAGTGGCTTCCTGTCTAGCTGTAATCTGCTCCCCCAGCCTTAACTAATGCTGAACTGGGTATTCCATTGCTGCTTAATGTTTTCATTCATTAAATTTACAGAACAGCTACCATAAGAGTGCCAAGAGTGCTGTTTGATAACATAATGATTTTACATACCTAGAATATAATATACTATTCTATTCCTAACTTGACTACACCCACCTAAGATAAAATCCTGATGCAGAAATGTAACTGATGTTTAAAAACAAAAGGAGGGGACTTTGCTTAGCATGCAGAAAGCTACAGAAGAACATTAAACTCATGCTGAAAAAATGAGGAAATGCCAGATAATCTGCACAATCATTACTTTTCTTGAGACCATCAGAGAAATAAGATCACAAGATAACCAGGTGAGCTGAACTGCAAAGAGTTTCAATCTCTTTGAGGACACACAGGACACATCGACTGTTTCACCTTTGGCAAATCGCATGAAAAAGAGGAAGCCTCCACCGAAGTGAAATTGGTAATTGCAATATGGCCTCAGGGATAGAAAAAGACAGTCCGAGGAATACAATCAATAATGTTGTAAGCATTTCTTAGGGGGCCAGATGGACCAATGCCCTTTTGGGGAGTCCACTTCATAGTTGATGTAGAGGCCTGAGCACCGCATTGTATTTCTGAAACTGATGTTGAATAATACTGTATGTCAACTATAATTATATATACATATAACCTCGGGACATGGAGTAGAGTGCGGGAACGGATTCAATGGAATTGTAATAGATAAGCATGATATCGGGGGTGGGAGGGCAGTGGATGGGGGGAGGGGGGTTGTTACTTTGTGAGGGTGAAAAGGGTAACTATTGCATTGTTCTGTACACCTGAAACTAACAATAAAAAAAATACAATAAAATAAAAAATAAAAAAAAGAAAGAAGAAAACAGCTAAAACTTTAATGAATCATTAAAGGCGGAGTGGGAGCTATCAAAACAACTCAGAATCCCAGGGAGACCAGACACAGTGTCCTCTGTTCTCATTCACTGCCTCTTTCTCACATGCTGATCAGCAGGAGACTGAGGGCAGGGAAGAGACCAGCAAAAGTCTCTCTTGGGCACACTGGCACAGAACCCCATACACTTCCCAGTCCCTTCCGTCTTACCAAGCAGAAGCCTTAAGAACTAGGAGAATGGAAAAACACCCTCTACCCTCTAAGACACAGGCAATGATCTCCTGTCTCTGAGAGACGGGTAGAGGCAAAGCTGACTGACCTTGGGGAAGGGGGCAGAAAATTCTCTTGGGCCCTGGAACACTGCAGATGTCTACTACCGCTTGGGGAGGGACCCAAGTCACAACCACCACTCAAGACCTGCCACAGACACAAGGAAGAGGCAGAGAATTGAATGAGGCTGGCAGAGCCATCAGACCTTGATGTAGGTCCTACCCCAAGGGAAGGGCAGTAGTTCTGAAGACAGGAAAGTGGAGGGGAAGCATGTTAGGCAATGCAGTTTTAACGAAAGATTGGCCACGCCATTGGACAATCATGCCGTTAAAGCTGCCTATCAAAGGAATCTGGCATCTCCCATCACAAGCTTGCCTTAGTGCCTCCGTCCTGTTAGTCACTGTCTGGGGACAGCTGTGGGAAGAATGGCCTCAGCTCAATTGCTGGATTTCAGAGCACAGCAGTTGGACCCTCAGTCACGCACACTCCTCCCAGTCAGAAATTTCAGAGGCCACTTTCATGGCTGCCATACAAGCACTACTATGCATATATGAGGATGGAAAAGCTACGATTACATTAAAAATAATTTATTTTTGTAAGAGGTAGTCCCTTCATTCCATGTACTTCCTTTTGTACATTTTTCCATCCTCTCCGGGCTAAGGTTGTTCAACTGTGAAGTTGGGTCTTTGACACGTGGTGGCCAGACTGGAATGAAAACATCATAACCAATTAGAAATTACGGAGGATGTAGAGATTTTACTCCTTCCTCATGAGGGTCTTAAGTGGCTGATTTGTGCTAATGCCACCAGAGCTCAACCTTCTATTTTAACTCTTCAACATCTTAAATCCATTTTCTATTTTCATTTCTTTGATATTAGTAGGAGCCACCATTATTTACCAGATGGGCCAACCTGAGTTGCCTTGCTTCGCCTTTCATTTCTGTAGTCTCAGTGGTCTTTTTTAAAATATAAAGGTGCTCTTGTCAACTCCCTGCTTAGAACCTTTCAATGCCTGTTCATTCCTCCTGTGATAAAAATAAATTCTTACCAAGGTCCTGTATAGTCTCACTCAGTGTTGTGCTGGTAAGTCTCTAACAACTGGTTCTTAGAGGTGTAAGATATGCTGGTTGGAAAAGTTTGTCCATTTCCACAGTGTAAATTTCCATCATATTTAATTTGGAGTTAGTAAACACAACACCACTGAAGGTGAGGTTGGGAAGAAATGTGCAATAGTAGATCATTATAAACTGTTTCCACTATACCAACAGAATAGACATGAATAAACTCAAGAGCACAAGGAATAGTAAAATAATTATGAATGATTATGCATAATTAGAACCATTATTTTTAATGTAATTTATTTAACAAGCTTATATACATATTTTTGTTTTTAATAATGGTTATTTAACAGTAGGCTCACAAAAGTTCCAAAATTATATCAACTGGCCCCTTTTAGCTCATATAAGCCAGCCCATCACTGTCTTTCACTCCTATAACTCTATGCTCAACTCACATAAGTTTCCCTTTCCATTCTGTTCTCAAACCTCTCTGGTTTCCTTTTAGATCCTCATCATTGTGAGTGTACTTCCTGCCACAGGACATTTCCACATTACTAATTTTTCTTCTTGAAATGCTCTGACCTGTCTTTGTGTTAACTCCTATTCATCTTTAAAAGCTTACTTAGCTCAGTGGTCACTTATAAAGGAAACCTTCCCCACCCTACCACAATTCCTTTTATAAATCAAGTTAATTTGTTAAATATTCACAAGAAACCATATTTCTTGCATTCAAAGCATTCACATGTTTTTTTTTTATTGTATGTTTAGCAGTAGTGTGAGCATTGGAATAATGTTTCCTCTCTAGACTCAAATCTCAGTAAGGTCAAGGACCATTTCTATTTTTACTAGTTTACCCCAAAGGCCTAATGTAGTGAATGGCACTCAATAGGGGCTCAACACATATTTGTTAAGTAAATGCACTGAGGGTTATTTCTCTAACTCAAGTGTGAACACAAGCATTTCCTTTCCTATTTGATTTTTGAAGGTGGTGTTACTTTAAAAAGCCATACTTGCTCAGTTATTCTAGAATAAAATGGGGAAAACACATTTAACCATAAATGATGCACAGTTAGCGGCACACTCTTCAGCTCTAGGCTGGATATCATACAAACTAAAGTGGGAGAACACTTAAAGAATATGAGAGACAGAGGGACAGTCCTGGCTTACATGTGCTGTGCACTATTTCATCTAGAAGGTTATCTACCCCAAGTCTTTTATTGTATTAAGTATCTGAAGTAAAGAAGAGAAAGCTGGACGGGCCGGCCGAGTGGCTCAGTGGGTTAAGAGCTCGCTCAAGAGTGCGAGCTCTGAGCAACAGCAGTTTGAGTCCCGGTTGAGCTGAGCTGCCACTGAGCTGCCAACAGGTGGCAGGAGGGCTCAGCTTAAAATAAAAGCAGAGAAAGCTGGTCTGTGGTGAGGGAACTGGAGCTGAAGTGCCGAGATGAGGAAGTACTGCCTGGGTCCCTGAGGCCTTGACCGTTCCTGGCTGGTTTTAGTCTCTACATTGTTACTTCCTCAGTGTCTATAAAATGCCAACAGAATAAAAAAACATAAACAAAAATGAAGAGATCCCCTCATGAAGCAGGGAAGTTAGTCAATGAGCCTGACATTAATTAGATACTTAAACGAATAACTAACTGGACAAGGGCAACTGGCTCAAGTGCTCTGATCGAAAAATACAAGATGGGGCCGGCTGAGTGGCGCGACGGTTAAGAACTGGCTTGGGGTGCCAGAGGGCCCCGGTTCGGATCCCACATATGAGGGCCAGTGACACTGCCCTCCACAGGTAAGATGCTGAACAACAGCTCAACCTGGAGCTGGGCTGCCTAGAGGTCGCCGGCGACGGCGTGGGCTGCAGTCCCTGTGGCAGTGGGTTGCCATGGGCTACCGTGTGTAGCCAGCAGCCAGCGTGAGCGGCCAGCAGCCGCAGTGAGCGGCCGTCCAGAAGCCGGCGACTGATCTGCCTCACCCGGGAAGAGCACAATGATGGTGCCAACTTGGGCCAGTGAAGCAACATCCTCCACAACTAGACTGAAGAACAAAAGGACAGCAACTTCTCTGTTCCCCTTCCCCCGATTCCCCAACGCTGTTCCCCTCCCACAATTCCCCAATAAAAATAATCTTTAAAAAAAAAAAAAAGAAAAAGAAAAATACAAGATGTTGTAAGAGAGGAACAAAAAGACCCCATCAGAAGAGTTGGTGAAGCATTCCTGAGGGATGAGTTGCCGTTAACTGGGAGAGGAGCAGTAATTTTAACAGTCCACTCAGGAAAAAGCCTGTTAAAGGTTCTTTGAAAGAAGACTCCTTTGGCTGAAGGGCACGGTGAGAGAGGAAGCTGGCAAGTTAAGTAGCAGCTCAGTTGTGAGAGTTCTTGTTATGTTGTGGGAAGTACCACACATTTTTAAAAAGAGTTCCAGAAGTGAGAGACGCAATATTCAAAGAAACTATGAATTGGTAGTTTTCAAAACTGAAGCATCACGAGTTAAAGAAATAACAGAGTTTCAAATAGGAAAATATAAACACACCCACACCAATCATACCATAGTGAAAATATAAAACACTGAAGGTAATGATAAAAGTTTTACAACAATAAGAAAAAGAGCACCAAATATTTATACAGTAACAAAAATTAGGCTGACAGAAGATTTTCACACAGGCAATAGAAGCCTGAAGAAAATTTAGAA